TTTCCTCTGAATTCAATATAAGAAGTAATTTGCTGCGTGAATTGTCGGCTAGGGATAAGTAGTCCTCCTAATTCCTATAAAAATGAAATGTAAATGACAATGACTTTTCTATGTAAAGGGAATTGTTTCAGGATTTATAAGGCAGCCAGTGCTTCATTCATAAATGTGTGTACAGCTAATGGCACTCTGGAGATTCTCACTAGAACCTACTGACTGTTACAAGTTCACAGGACTTAGTGCAGTGTTCACTCTCCATGTGGCTAAATGTGTCCTTTGGGAGTAGACAAAACCGCAAAGACCATCCCTTGCCAAAAACAGCAGTGATTCTTAATATCTTCCTCTATTTAAATTATTATATTAATATAATAATAAAACTCTATTTCTTTTTCCTATTACACTAACGACATTTACAAATGCAATATCGAAAAAAAAATCCTCCTGAGCTCTAATGTATATGCACTCTTGTACCTGTTTTATATCTTTTTTTTCTTCATTTTGTTGCATTTTGCGTTTATTTATGTAGACATTATTTCTAGGGAGTTATATTTATTAGGACAAATTGTGAAAAAGTAGCAATGACACTGATGCAGGAGTGCAAGTGGGTGGGAATACTGCTGGATTTGGTGGCAGCTGCAAAAACTTTTGAAAGTAGTGCCAAGAAAAAAAAAGCAGACTGAGAAGAAAGGACTATTCACCAGTATTGCTTGTGGTCTTCTTGCAGCTGATATTTCCTTAATAATTGACAGTGTTCTGCATTGTGATTTTTTGTGTGAAGTGACCATCTTGGTAACAGCAGAGTTTTGCTTACAATTTAACTCCTTACCTACCTCCATATATTTATCAGCCGTGAAATGGTGGATGGTTATTTACTCAGCACCATTTATAAACAGCACAAAATCAAGTATCATTTTATGGCCATTGTGCCTGTAAATGTCTGCGAATGGAGCTATTGGTTTGGCTCCAATCCCAGAGCAGTGTACAGAGCTGATCTCAGTGGCTCTGTTTATTGAGACCACTGTGATTGGTCATAGAAAGTCACATCGGAGAGCTCTCCTCTTCCTCTTACAACAGAGGAAGGGGAGGAAAAAGGAACTGATGAATGAATGAGTCATGTACTAGCTGTGTGTATGACCTGGCTTGCTACTGTATCTAGTATATCATTATTATTTTTAACCTCCTCAATAAAAGCATGTTTCTTCATTTCCAAAAAAACTGTGGCACAAAATGAGATCACTTTGGGCTATCTACTTTTCAAAAAATAGTAATTTTAAGGGTGTTCATATTGTCCTGGAATTTTTAAACGGTTGAATGGTTGCTGGAAGGGCTGTACATATGTATTAATGAGCCACCTTTGTGCATGACTGGGGACTTCAGAGGTAACTATGAAGATCCCCATGCTCTGGCAGGATTCTGCTTTTTTAAGTGTCCTCTTTAAGTGTCCTCTTTCTTAGGTACAATGCAGTGAAAATTGATAATGAATTCTTAAAATGTTTGTCAGGGAACACACAAAAATAAATAAATATACATATACAGTATATACAGGATATATACAGTATATGTATACACAGTATATACAACATTATCTTCAGATCTCCAATACATTCACATTTCCCCACGTATTATCCCTTAAAAATACTGCAGGTACAGAAAAATACAGTTTGATTATCCAGAAATCCAGTATGTTCCAAATTTCCTGTTTGACATTATATGATGATGCTTCCTGCTGGACTATAGAACTTTGCCTATACCCCATACCTCTTTGTCCTTGCTCATATGCCTATATTGCTTCCTTTCCCAGAAAAACTTGGCAGCTGACTTAACCCCGAAGAACCTGCCCACACACTGTACTGTATATAGAGAAAAGGCTTTTGGGAGATATAGTTCTGTGGAAGTGCTTATGTCAGTATGAACTGACCTCCTGCAACACGTCTGCTGATGATGTTATAAAGATTAATTAAGGTGTTTCCCACCAGAACAGATAAAAAAATTGTAGAGCATTTGTGTATCCAGTGAAGGAGATGATTTAAGATAAATATGGGTTGTGGCTATCAAAATCCAAACAAATTGTATCTAAAGCCAACACTTTTCATTAGTTTTACGCAGGGTAGAAAATGACCACTTCATATTTTTTTTTTTTTAATGTTGTCTGTGTTTCTGCTGGGGAGAGTCACCCTGTCATTTTTCAAAGTGGCCATTGTCACCTTGACTAAAAGGGAAAATTTAAAGTCACTGCAATAGGAATACAGGGAAATTCTTCTAATAGAAACATTTGCACTGTGTAAAAGAAAAAAAAAAAGTCAAAGGAGTCAGTTATGCATTAGGGTACACTGTCAGCCCATTCATGCCTAAAGAGTGAAACTAAACTAACATTTTTACTAAAATAGAATTAAAAAAATGCAATATGAATAAATGTAAGTAGAATGTAGTACCTTTTATCTCTTTTCCTTTATTTGATTTTTCAAATGCCAGCTTTTTTCTGCAGCTCTCAGACTTCCCGAGGAAGGCTACGTTCATTCTCCATGCCCCCCCTTGTGTATATGAATATAGCCACCTTTCCTGCTCACCAAAGAGATGAACTACACATCTGTGTGCAGACACTTTCAGATGTATATTAATTGTAGTACACAAAGAGGGAGATTTACTAAAATTGGCACACTCAGAATCTGGTGCAGCTGTGCATGACAGCCATTCAGCTTCGAACTTCAGCTTGTTCAGTCAACCAGTTGCCGACCGCAGGTAGCTGAATGAGAACTCGCTCTCCTGTGTGCCTCCAATGACACGCTGATCACCGGGAAATGCAATTGCTGGTTCTCGGCTGCACTTTCCTCACTCTCTCAGAGCGTGAGGAAAATACCGCCGAGAACCAGCAGTTGTCAGTTCATTTTCTTTCAATGCACAGTTTAGCATGTAGGAAAAATTTAAAAATGGCTCCACCACTGAAAAGGTTAATGCACAACAAGCAATATTTGAAATCATATATTCATTTTCACATTGAATTTCAATTATTTCTAGCTTACCCCTATTAATCTGAACATTCTTGGAGTTTGAAAACATACTTTTTGAAGAATACCACACATTTATTTCCTTGAATTAAAGTATTGAACCCAAAAGCAAAAATCTATTATATTGCAGCTTATCAATTTTTAGATATGGTTGCAATCATTTTTCAGGCTTTCTTTCTCTTAATTTCACCTGGTGATCTGGCCAGAAAGTCTGTTGTTTTTCAGCAGAACATGCAGATGTAGCAGTTACAGGAATGAGACAAATCATTTACCACTAACAGGAGTGCTTACGATGATCAGCTTTTATTTATTTATGTAAAACCTTTATCCCTAAAATGAAAAAAAAAATGGTTGTTGTAGATGCTTATAAATTGTTAGCGGGAGTCCAGATTTGAATTGTTAGTGTATGTAACTGTGCATGTGTTTGTATGTGACTGTGGGCCACCCCTTGTTGCCCAAGACCATGACCTATGTTGGCAATGCAGAAATCTTGTCCTTGCAATAAAGATATTTTCCTTTGGAACACGTCATACATCATGCTAGGTGATAGAAAATAACTTCATGCATAAACTAGATCCATGTCTGCAAATACTGCTCATGAAAATTGGTGCGGATGCAACATAAAGAATTGTCACATGCAAGGGCACCCAATCTGGTGTGTATAGCCCCAGTAGTGAGAATTAGCATCCAATAGGTATTTCAAATAATGTATTGATAAAAGATGCTAAAATAAAAGGTTAAAGAGACATCAAACTCAAACATAGAGAAGATTGGTTTGGCCTTCTAGAAGAAGAAAAAACACTTGTCAGTTTTAGGAAATCAATTTTGGTATCAGCAAAAGCAATGTTGTCTGGTTCGGTATGTCAACGAGTTTTTTGTTTGTAGATGCAATCTGACCCCTGTTCTATATGTGAAAATAATTACATACGTTAGGCGGTAGAAGAAGCTGAAGAAAACTCATTTATCATTAAGAAAAGGTTACAAAGAATAAAAGGCAATCCTTACAGGACCATCTGAAACATTTACTTCACACTGGTATACTGTAAAATTGCTAGAGAGCATTTTTCTTCCTGTTTTCACTTCACCAATCGCACACATTGACTCATTACTAAATTTAATTAAACTCCACCAGACTCTAAAATATATTACTGAATCATCCAGCTATGGAGAGTTTGTGACTAATAGCTGGAACAATGAGCAAAGCAATCGGAATAAGAGCCAGCATAAACAGTTTTTTTTTTTAGCATTCAGCAAGTGCATTTTGTAGAACATATGGGTGGGCATGAAATATAGTTCTCACATCCCACTGTCTATTTGTAGTTTTACTTAACCCTTAATAAAGATGAAATCAGCCTTCAAAAAATATCTCCCACCCATGTGAAACTCTCTGAGTTAAGGCACTAGAAAGCGTAAGAGAATCACCTAATAACTTGAAAAACTCTAGAGATGGGAAGGCCAGGAAAAAACTGGAAAAAAAAAGTTTTTTCAGTTTTTTTTCAAACCCATTTTTGTTTTTTTTTTTTCCGGAAACATTGGGAAAAAAAATAAAGAAGAAGTGTGGAATATGTTCTTTTTAACTACTTGTCTATCGGGCACTTTTACCCCCTTCGTGCCCAGGCCAATTTTCAGCTTTCAGTGCTGTCGCACTTTGAATGATAATTGCGAAGTCATGCAACCTTATACCCATATGAAATTTTTATAATTTGTTTCACACACATAGAGCTTTCTTTTGGTGGTATTTAATCTCCACTGGGTGTTTTATTCTTTGCATAAAAAATAGCAAAGCGTGTGAAAATAAAACACTTTTCTTTGTTTCTATAACATTTTGCAAACAGGTAATTTTACACTTCACTGATGTGCGTTGATGAGGCTGCACTGATAGGCAGCACTGATGGGCACTGATGAAGTGGCACGGATAGGCAGCACTGATGGGCACTGATAGGCTGCACTGATGAGGTGGCACTGGTGGGCATTGATGAGGAGGCACCAATGCTGCTGCACTGATATGCAGCACTGATGGGCACTGATAGTTTGCACTAATGGGCACTGATGGGCGACACTGACTGGTGGTACTGACTGACAGCAATGACTGACAGCAATGACTAGTGGCACTGACTGATGGCAATGCCTGTCGGCACTGATGGGCGCAACTGCTTGGTTTCACTGCTGGGCAGCACTGATGGCTGGCACTGCTTGGCACTGATGACTGCACTGAATGGCACTGATGGGCACTGGTGGGAGGCATTGCTGGGCACTGGTGGGTGGCACTGCTGGGCAGCACTGATCATCAGGTCCCTGGGCTCCATCTTGTATCTCCTAGAGTTGGGTGATTGTTGGGATACAGTAGATGATAATTTCTGTCCTCCTCTCAGGCCTTCATTGACAGGTAAGAGGGTTTTTTTTCAGGGGGAGCATGGGGGAACGCAGTTACAGCACCTCCAGCACTGAATGTATGTAATAGCAAGGGGTGCTGGAGTGTGCTGGAAGGTCTGTTGATGCTGGATGCTGGGGGTCTGTTGTTACTGGAGGGGATCTGTTTTTGCACGGTGGTCTATTGTTGCTAGCGAGGTCTGTTGTTGCTGGTGGGGGATCTACTGTTGAGGGGAGTCTATCGTTGTTGGCTGCTGGAGAGTCTATTGATGTGGGTTTCTGGGGAATCTGCTGTTGCTGCTGGGGGTTTATTGTTGCTGGGGTGGTATTTTATTGCCAGGGTTCATTGCTGCTGGGGGAATCTATTGTTGCTGGAGAGAGGAGTCTATTGCTGCTGGCTGCAGGGGATATATTTTACTACTTTTCTTCTTATCATTAACACCTTCCATACAAATTACTCAGCACTACAAAATGATAATTGACTCTATAAGGATCTGTACTGGGAGGCACCAAGGGACTGTGCTTGGAGATGGGTGGACGGGGCAGAGACAAGAAGTGATTCAGAAGGGGGGAGTTCCTGCACCTATTCTCTAGGAAAAAAAGCCCAGTCAACAAGTGGTTAATGAGGTAAATTTTCGTATTTATTCTATTGCTTATTGGTATTTCTAAGAATAATTGTTGCTATATCTCAAACTCGCTAATCTCAATCTTCTGTGAGCTGTACATATAAAAAATTATTTCAGGGGTTCTCTGAGATCTCAGACTTTTTGCCAGGGGTTCCTCAAAGGTAAAAAGAGTAAAAACCCTGATTTGGAAACATTTCCACAGTGCAATTTCTGATGAGAGTAAAGCTGCAATTTTCAGTGTAATAAAATGACTCAATTTATAAGTCTACTCCACACTAATTTTTCTTTTCAATTTCTCCAAAAATTTCCTTTTTTTCTGGGAAAAAACATTTTTTTCCCATGGTTTAAACATTTCTGGAAATTGTACATCTCTAGTCAGGTCAGGCAACAGTTATAATTTCCGAAGGTACCTAATATGTGTGTGATAGGACTGGACTATCTGGAAGGGCATGCCAGACAGTAAATTATTGGATGTGTACTGTACAAAACTTCATCTCACTTGAAGCACTTTTTGATTCATTTAATGCTTAAGATGCAGTCAGCATGTTTTTGGGGAAAAAAAAACAACCTTCTCTTTTCAGCCTAATGTAAAAGTAAGGATCTAAAATGTACCTTCCAGCTACAGCAGATATCCTCACCAAATGATCAAAGCTGTTTGGCACACATACGTTTTGTAATCCAGTAGTTATTGTTCTCCAGAGACAGTGTTGGGTTTGCCTGCACAGAGTATAAGCAGCTGAGGAAATATTAACTTGTATAATTATGAGCCAGCTGTATAAAAAAGTTTATGGTTATCCTCCATGGACAATTTTAGCCTTTTAAAGGAAAGTTATTTTGGTCATACTTCTCTTCTAGGTCACATGAGTGCAATTAGTTCTGCACTCCTGTGATCCAGATTCAGCTGACAGAGGGCTAGCGCTTGCTGTCAGCTCATGTGACCCGGTCCAGGCTCTGCAGGGATCCACCCAGATGCCTGAATGGCAGCCACTGAGCCAGCTCCCCCCCCCCCACAACCCTGCATTCCAATGAGCCCTGGAGGGGCAGAACATAGAGTGGTGGCTGACAGTCACCATACTGTGCTCAGAGTGGACCTGAGTACTGAGAGATCAGTGGTCTTTGGTCACTCATTTCTCGGTGTAGAGGCAGCAGGGGACAGATGCAACATCGGATCCATGCTGTAACTACATACAGGAGTTGGACAAAATTATGGAAGCACCAGGGAAAGAACAAAATTGTTACCTAATATGGTGTTGGACCGCCTTTGGCGTCAAAGACGGCCTAAATTCTCCTGGCAATTGACATATATAAACCAAGGTGGATTATGGAATCTGATAGCACTGTTAATGGAAACATCATTCCAGTTCTTGCAGAGATGCCAGGGGTGAAAAACAAGCCCGAACCTTGCTCTCCAAAACTAACAATAGTGGCTCTATGACATCAAGGTCCGGTGACTGCGGCACCCAAGAAAGGTGCAAGACTTTGTCTGCTTGCTCATCAAACCACAATTTCACAACACCAGCTGTATGAATTGGAGTATTATCATTTTGGTAAATAGTACTGCCTTCGAGAAACAATGTCTACACCACAGGGTGCACATAGTCGGCCAGAATTTCTGGCAGTGACTCTATCTTTCAAGGTGATGATGGAATATCATGAATACCAAGAAATGGCTGCCCAAACCATGATTGCGCTGCTACCTTGCTTTACCGTTGGCATAAAACAGTCCTGGTCATAAGCTTGGGACGGTGTTTCACCACACGTAAACAGGTCCTGTAGTTGGGAACAGCGTGAAGCTTGATTCATCGAACCATTTTACAGTCTTCCATTGATTGATGGTCCATGATTTATGGGTGTTGCCCCAATCTCTCCTCTTATGAGCATTAATATTGATCACTAGTGGTTTGGCAATTGCAGCTCGCCTGTGAATGTTTTGCTTATGGAATTCTGTCCACATAGTTTTTGTGGACATGGGCTTTGGAAGACTGAGATTGAGCTCTTCAGTCACTTTTGCACCAGTTGTTTTCTTATTCCGGGTCACAATCCTGCACAATGTCCTTTTGTCTCTTTCGGTCAGTTGACCATGTCGACCACGCTTATTCTTATCTGACTTTGCAAGATTTTTACATTCTAAACATGACACAAAACAAACTGAAACTGGTTATTTTACATTTAGGACCCTTTCACACTGGTGGACTATGCCAAGCGGATCCGCTTGCTCAACGTGGAAGCTGTCCACTGATCCCTGCTGAGCAGGTGGATGACAGGTCCGTGTCCACTCCTCTTCTGCAGAGTGGACACAGACACAGCCCATTGTTCTCTATGGGGAGGTCATATGTAAATGGACCGACTATCCGTTTACATCCAACTGTCATTTGATCCGCTAGACGGATAGGGAATGGATCCCACATCCGTCTATTTTTAGTGGATTGGATCAGATGCAGGCGGGTGTTCTCCATAGAGAACAATGGGGGACCACCTAAAAAACTAACAGGAGTTACCTGAATTAAAATGACATACACCAGAGTTACAGTACTTGGTAAATATTTCTTATAATAAAGTACTACATAGAATATCATAGAAACATAACTCTGGAACAAGGACGGGGCATATCATTAAGCAATTATGCTGCTTCTTTTTCTTGCACATGCCTATGGATTAGTTATATAATCCAAAGGAAAAGGCTCTATAAAAAGTCACATTGTGTGTGCTAACAGACTATTTATCAGACAAACTGCAGTTTTATCAGACAGAGCACCATATTAAGGTTGTTTATATATTTCATACAACAAGGAGATATTGACATTCCAATATATTACATGCATAGGGGAAGGATGAATATTGACGATAGCAACAGTGATGGAACATTGCAGGAGAAAGTGTTTAATATTTATTCCTATGCCTCTCCACGGGATAGCCTAGCCAAGCAAAACATTGAACCAGGGGCCACATCCCATGGATAACCTGGAGGTCTCTTACCTAATTTTTTCTCCATATTGATTCTTGTGAAGATATAATGAGGAAGCATTTCACTGTATTTTCTGAGGAGCATAAAAACTAAAGTGAAAAGCACTCACTATAAATTCTATAAAGGCCTTCCTGACACATTACCAGTTTCTTTTATGGCTAAATGCCCTGTTACATTGATAAAAAAACACAATCTATAGAATTGATTTGCAGATACATTGTATGTGCTTCTATACAAAGTAAGGTTTGCCTCTTTTATTAAATGAAGACACTTGTTTTTTAACTTGTAACTTTACAGTGCTCTGAGTTAACATTCATTGTCGTATTGTAATAGTGGCTATAAAAATAGCTTGACTACACTGTTGCGTAATGCATTCGACAAATAATCCACACAGATTCATTTCAGACATCTCATTAAATTACTAGTGAATAATACCACACAGGCACACAATTAAAAATTATGAAAAAGTAACATTTACTTAGTTACAGATGAATGGTTGCAGAAACAGCAGTTTCAGTATCATTCCAGTACTATGAAAAGGATTTTGACTTGCAGCCGTATCCCAGGCTGCAGATTGCTGACTTCGATGGTCATCACACACAGATGCATCTGTGAGTCCACTCAGAACAGTTATGACTTTCATATGGTGCTCAAAATAATTAATCTTCAGTATTTTATTGCATTATGCCCTTAAAGCAGAACTCTGGTTACAAATGTTATTTTCCCATGGTTAAGTGCTCGTTTTGTCTAGGTGCTCAGGTAAGAGCTGTACTTACCCATTCCTCTGATCCTCTGGAAAACTGCGCTCCCCCACATCCAGCGGTGGACTGTTCCTGCTGTCCTCACGTCCGTAACTGGTCTATGGGCGTGATGACATCATAAACAGCCCACTCACAAGACTGGCAAGCATGGGATCTAGAAGAGATGTTCTTTCCTCCTCTCTGCTGCCAATAACTGAGACAAGGTGGAGGTAGAGATGAGGGGGGTGCCTCAGTTGCAGGAGTGGTGCATGGGCAACATGAAATGGCCTGGCAGGCTGGATTTGGCCCACTGGCCTTGTGTTTGACACATATGCCACAAATGGTTTGAATCTCAGCCGATCCCTCGAACCATCTATGGCTGGCTTGAGAAATCAATGATGTTCACTCAGTGGATGACCTTCTCATGTACGACATCTTTCAATTGAAAAATCAAATTAGACAATTGCCAAATTGTTGGCCAAAAAACAGTTGCAATCAAGTGGAGAAAGATACTGCTCAGGTGGTTTAACATCCAGCTGGGACATACAGCAGCCACAGAATGAAATTCATCCTTCTGCACAGCTAGTGAATGCCGGAATCTGTTATCAGGCTGTGTTCAACGCTGTAAATTTTATATCTGATATAGTGCTTTTAAATAAAATTTTTATTTTATTTTGTTTGATTTCTTCCCTTGTTCTAAAAACAGCATTAACAATGTTTTCCAACTTGTCAGTAGATGGGATAATGTTAAAAGAGATGTTTAGTTTGTCTATCTGATACTGACCTTTAGCTGATATTGACCTGGGTGGGCTTTGATCTGTGTGTGTGTGTATTTTTGCGGGGAAGGGTAC